ATACAAATAAACTCCTGATGTGTTCTGCAGGACGACTGAACCTCGATCAGTGCAATCTTAGCTCTCATGACCTGAAGGAGGCGGTGGAGGAGGACTGGGGGAACCAGGAGAACCAGGAGAACCAGGTGAAGGCCTATATTTGAAATCAGCTCCATTATCATGGCGGCACGGCGGCTGAGTGGATAGCACTCTCGCCTCTCAGCAAGAAGGTCCTGGGTTTGAATCCCGGTTGGACCAGGGCCTTTCTGAGTGGAGTTTGCATGTTCTCCCCGTGTCTGCGTAGGTTTCCTCCGGGTGCTCCGGTTTCCCCTACCACTAAAAATATGTACAATAGGTCTGGCATGTGCCTCCTGTACTGGCACCCCTGCTCCCAAAAATAACAATTGTAAACCGCTTTGAGACTCCGATGTGCAGTGAAAAGGCGGTATATAAATAAAGATTACTTACTTACTTATCCATTATTGTAAATGGAAAAAGCTGATCTAAAGACGTGACAGGCCAGAAACACACGACGTGAGACCAATGACAGCTGTTTAGAGGCAGGACCAGTGACACCGAGTTCTATTGAACTAAGATGTGTCTCTGTGTTTGAAACCACAGCATAAGGACTGGTCAATATTAATATCATTACAGTTATTACTATATTTAAAGTATAACACCATGTTGGACCTTTGATCAACGGTAACAAATAGATAAATAATAAAGACGCTGTACTTTCTGCTCCATCAGCAAAGACTTTGTTTGTGTTTCAGGCGGACGGACTGAACAAGTCCAAAAGTTACTGGAGATTCAAGTTTGGATCCATGAGGAAAGGGGAAAGCGAGAGGTTAGTCAATTGAATTTCTTTTTGTAGCGCCCTAAATCACCACATTAGTTTTATACAAACTGTCGATTCACCAACACAGATCAGAAAATCACAGAGTTCAAACACAGGAAGTCCAATGATAAGAATGATCCAGGACTGAGGCTGCAGACCCAGGACTGAGGCTGTAGAACCAGGACTGTGGCTTTAGATCCAGGACTGAGGCTGTAGATCCAGGACTGAGGCTGTAGACCCAGGACTGAGGCAGCTCCCTGGCCGGAAGGGGGTAGACAGTCCACAGATGCAGATGGAGGTCGGGTTCAGGGGTCCCATCATTCCATATCATTCCATTTTCTTCCGCTTCATCCGTTGCCGGATCACGGGGGCAGCAGTCTAAGCAGAGACGCTCAAACTTCCCTATCCACACACACTTCCTCCAGCTCGTCCTGGGGGAACCCCAAGGCGTTCCCAGGCCGGCTGAGAGACATAGTCCCTCCAGCGTGTTCTGGGTCTTCCCCAGGGGCTCCTACCGGTGGGACGTGCCCGGAACACCTCCCCAGGGAGGCGTCCAGTAGGCATCCGAAACAGATGCCTGAGGCCTCTTTACCAAAACGGTCCAATACAGCGACCGCATCACTGCGCACGCTGCACCGATCCGCCTGTCAATCTCACGCTCCATCCTCCCCTCACTCGTGAACAAGACCCCGAGATACTTGAACTCCTCCACTTGAAGAAGGACCTCTCCACCCACCTGGAGAGGGCAAGGCACCTTTTTTTCCGGTCGAGCACCATGGCCTCAGATTTGGAGGTGCTGATTCTCATCCCAGCCGCTTCACACTTGGCTGCAAACCGTCCCAACAGGACAACATCGTCCGCAAACAGGAGAGGGTCCCATCATAACGCCATGAAAAATCAATGGGACAGAGGGTGAATAGCAACGAACAGACTACAGCTGAAGACAATATCCGCCTGTAATATGTTTGTTTTGCTCTCTGTTGTTGAAAAACACGAGCACGATTTATTACGCAGCCAGTCTTGATGTTTATTCATCGAACTGAATTTCTCCATTGTGAGATAATAAAGTAGATCTCATCTCTCAGAATGATGACAGAAAGTAGAAGAGGACGTTGCTGTTACCAGCCTAATAAAACCACCTAAACATTAATGTTTTGTGTTTATGTTTTTTCCTGGGTTTGTAATATTTGTGTGGAGTTTAAAAGGTGGCTAAGTGGATAGCACTCTCGCTTCTCTGCAAGAAGGCCCTGGGCGAGAATCCCGGTCGGAACAGGGTCTTTCTGAGTGGAGTTTTCATGTTCTCCCTGTGTCTGCGTAGGTTTCCTCCATGTGCTCCGGTTTCCCCTAAGATTAAAAAAATAGGTCTGTGCCTCCTGTACTGGCCCCGCTCTCTGTGATGAGTGAGAGACTAATGCCCAAAAATAACAATTGTAAACCGCCTTGACGCTGGTCTGTGAAAGGCGGTATATAAATAAAGATTACTTAGTCTCACAGCCTCAGGTCTCAGTTCTTTCTGCCTCAGGTCTCACAGTCTCAGGTCTTTCTGCCTCAGGTCTCACAGTCTCAGGTCTTTCTGCTTCAAGTCTCACAGCCTCAGGTCTCAGGTCTTTCTGCCTCAAGTCTCACAGTCTCAGGTCTTTCTGCCTCAAGTCTCACAGCCTCAGGTCTTTCTGCTTCAAGTCTCACAGCCTCAGGTCTCAGGTCTTTCTGCCTCAAGTCTCACAGCCTCAGGTCTCAGGTCTCACAGCCTCATGTCTCATAGTCTCAGGTCTTTCTGCCTCAGGTCTCACAACCTCAGGTCTTTCTGCCTCAAGTCTCACAGCCTCAGGTCTCAGGTCTCACAGCCTCAGGTCTCACAGCCTCAGGTCTTTCTGCCTCAAGTCTCACAGCCTCAGGTCTCAGGTCTTTCTGCCTCAGGTCTCACAGCCTCAGGTCTCAGGTCTCACAGCCTCAGGTCTCACAGTCTCAGGTCTTTCTGCCTCAGGTCTTACAACCTCAGGTCTCACATTCTCAGGTCTCACATTCTCAGGTCTCACAGTCTCAGGTCTCACATTCTCAGGTCTCACAGCCTCAGGTCTCACAGTCTCAGGTCTTTCTGCCTCAAGTCTCACAGCCTCAGGTCTCATATACTCAGGTCTCACAGCCTCAGGTCTCATAGTCTCAAGTCTCACATTCTCAGGTCTTTCTGCCTCAAGTCTCACAGCCTCAGGTCTCACATTCTCAGGTCTCACAGCCTCAGGTCTCACAGTCTCAGGTCTCACATTCTCAGGTCTCACAGTCTCAGGTCTTTCTGCCTCAAGTCTCACAGCCTCAGGTCTCACAGCCTCAGGTCTCACAGCCTCAGGTCTCACAGTCTCAGGTCTCACATTCTCAGGTCTCACAGTCTCAGGTCTTTCTGCCTCAAGTCTCACAGCCTCAGGTCTCAGGTCTCACAGCCTCAGGTCTCACAGCCTCAGGTCTCACAGTCTCAGGTCTCACATTCTTAGGTCTCACAGTTTCAGGTCTTTCTGCCTCAAGTCTCACAGCCTCAGGTCTCACAGCCTCAGGTCTCACAGTCTCAGGTCTCACAGCCTCAGGTCTTTCTGCCTCAAGTCTCACAGCCTCAGGTCTCAGGTCTCACAGCCTCAGGTCTCACAGCCTCAGGTCTTTCTGCCTCAAGTCTCACAGCCTCAGGTCTCAGGTCTTTCTGCCTCAAGTCTCACAGCCTCAGGTCTCACAGTCTCAAGTCTTTCTGCCTCAGGTCTCACAACCTCAGGTCTCACATTCTCAGGTCTCACATTCTCAGGTCTCACAGTCTCAGGTCTCACATTCTCAGGTCTCACAGCCTCAGGTCTCACAGCCTCAAGTCTTTCTGCCTCAAGTCTCACAGCCTCAGGTCTCAGGTCTTTCTGCCTCAAGTCTCACAGCCTCAGGTCTCACAGTCTCAAGTCTTTCTGCCTCAGGTCTCACAACCTCAGGTCTCACATTCTCAGGTCTCACATTCTCAGGTCTCACAGTCTCAGGTCTCACAGTCTCAGGTCTCACATTCTCAGGTCTCACAGTCTCAGGTCTCAGGTCTCTCTGCCTCAGGTCTCACTGACCTGTGTTTTCTGTTGAAGTCCACAGGTGCCGTTTCACAGGAGCTGGACTCGCAGGAGGCTGAGTCAGCTGTTCAGGAGAAGAAGGAAAACAGGACCAGTTTAATGTATTGTTTGTTTGTATGTATCTATATCGGTTGGTATGTACATGTAGACATGTATGTACAGTATGTATATTACCACATACACATGGCAGGCCACAATTATTTTCATTTTTTTTACATTTGTCTCCCAGTCCCCACATAGATTGCCATACAAGAGGCGATTCAGACCATAGATGTCATTACTCAAAAGCTCCTCACCATGCAGGGTGGGTTCCATCCCAAATCCAGACCCTGAGACTGTACGCATGGGCCGTAAATAAGGCCGAGGCCTATAGAGTGTGAGAGCCACTGTCCAGGACGAAACATCCAAACTCCATAGCTACATCATGGAGAAGGCCCAAACGGATCACGCAGCGAATGTCTCAGACAGTGATGAGATGGAGGAGAGCCCATCATGGGAGGACAAGCCCCTGCACGGCATGTACCACCGGAGCATAGCAGAAGGGGCTGACCTCAAGTCCTACCAATGGCTAGGATGATAATGGCCGTCGGGGCTGCACAGAGCAGGCACAGATATACTACAGCAGAGAAGACCCAAGGTACAGCAAAGAGGAACGGCAAAGATATTGCACATAGTCCTGACCTCTGACCTCCGGGAGAGGACTGAGCTCTGGGATAACCTCCCGAGGGTGAACTTAGCAAAACAATTTTTAAAACATGCAAATATATGATATGCACTGTATAAATGTCTGTATGTATTTACATATGGGATGTTGATAAGTCTCCAGTCTCTGGATTATAGGGATTTAATTTGAAGTAAAGAATAAAACATATTTTTGTGATTATTTAAAGGTCTGTGTGAAAAAGATCAAACACAAATCTGTTGTGCTGTAACTGGTTGAACCTGATTTTAGAACATGTTGTTGTGTCTCTGCCAACACGTCACTCACCGTCCAGGAAACACGTCCAAACCGTCCGATGGGAGTCATAGCAACAAGGCCGATATTCTGGTTTTAGCATCAGTCATGTGTTTCGTGAGTCAGATACTGTTCTTTTAAACAACCAGAAAACTGAAGTGGAAAAAGAGTTTTGTGAAAGAAAATGTCCTTTTGTTTGGATTCACAAAATCCCCATATTATTATTATGGACTCAATTCAGTTCAATGTAATTGTGTTTTACCCCAAATCACAACAGAAGTAGTCTCTGAAGACAAAGTTGTGAATTCCTCAGCAACAGATCAGAAAATCAAACAGTTCAAACACAGGAAGTGGGATGACTATCCACTAATAAAAGTCACGAATCATCACTGTCCTTAGCCCCTTCTGCATCAGGAAGGAACCACTCTGGACTGTGGTCTCTCTCTCTGGTCTCTTTCTGGTCTCACTCTGGTTTACCTCTGGTCTCTCTTTCTCTAGTTTCTATCTGGGTTCTCTCTGGTCTCTCTTTCTCTAGTTTCTCTCTGGGTTCTCTCTGGTCTCTCTCTGGTGCTGATAGAGAAAATGTAGGGCTTTGCCACAATTTTTGTTTCAAGAATTACATGATAAATTAGTGACAAACTAAAACTAAAATCTCACTTACCATAGTTACCACAGTTACCATAGTTACCCTAACCCTAAACCATAGAGAGATGTTCCACCTTATCTACAATACAATTTGAAACTATCACTCTTTCTTGTGATGTCACATGACCATCACCTATAGACAAATTCATTTATCTTCTCTGTCCAAATTTCTATTCTGTCTTAGAATGGAGCCACACAATTAGGATTTATAATATATTATCTTTATTCACCTAGAGTGGGGAGATAGCGTTCCCTTGGCATTCGCATGTAGATGTCACAATGACAAACACTTCAGACCAAACACAGGGTGAGTAGATCTCAGTTCTTACTTAAAATACATCATATAGTTACAGCAGTAAGTATATATTCATATATACTTACAGCAGTAAGTATACATTTCTATATACAGCAGCAGCAGCGTCCATGGTCCCACACAGCCACCTTCTGCGCTATTCCAGATAACTGTGGTCGGGCTTATGACTGGTGGTGAGGGGAGAGCTTATATCAGAGTGGCCACAAGGGGCAGTATCGAGTCATGCCTGCAGTACCCCAGCTGTGACTGCACCAACACTGTATGAAGGCGTTCAGAGGGACTGGTGTCATGCAATCCGGCTCTCGGACTGAGCCCCGTATAGGGCACAGGTACTGCCCCCAAGTTTAAGAAGACACATAGAGCTTTATTTTAGCTTACAACACACTCAGTGTTAACAGTGAGTGAAACTCATCAGTGCATAGAAGTAATATTACCCATTAACTATACAGATAGATTTTCTTCTCAAAAAATCCTCAAAAATGTTGTTTAAGTCTAATCCTGAAACTGAGACCCTGTAGTCTTAGCCTCTGATGACTCTATTAAGTGGGAACGGTCTCCGTTCAAATGGGTCTTGGTTCAGTAGTGCTGGCGGTACCAATCGGTGCAGTAGGAGGTTCCTAATCACAGAAGAGTTTGTTCTCTCAGGGTCTCAGACTGACCTCTCAGCCCCTTCATACAGTGAGGCGCCTACGTGATGCCACATGTAGACAGGGGCTGAGGCGCCTACATGATGCCACCTGTGGACAGGGGATTGTTGAGGCGCCTACATGATGCCACATGTGAACAGGGGGTTTTTGAGGCGCCTACATGATGCCACATGTGGACAGGGGGTTTTTGAGGCGCCTACATGATGCCACATGTGGACAGGGGGTTTTGAGGCGCCTACATGATGCCACATGTGGACAGGGGGTTTTTGAGGCGCCTACATGATGCCACATGTGGACAGGGGGTTGCTGATGTGGCAGGTGCAGGCTGACTGGCAGTACTGGCGAACTGTCTGATAACAGCTGCGGTCACCCTCCCCCCCCCACTGCACGGGGCCATTGGGGGCCGTGGGGAGGCGGCTGAGGATGCTGGTGTTGATGGCCAGAGCTGCGAGACCGTAGTCTGTGAACAGCACCGTCTCACGGCGACACGTGGGGCACGAGATGAACTTGTACTTGGGACAGGACTCGTAGAGGATCTGTAGACACTCCTCACACACAGAGTGCAGACACGACAGGATCCGAGGGCGTTTTCCTGTGAAGTTATAGGTGTGTCCACAGGTGGGACAGTCCAGGGGCTCACATGGAAGGACGGGGCCCGAGGACGAGGTGGAGGACGAGGTGGAGGATGAGGTGGAGGACGAGCGCAGCACGTACTGGTTCACAATAACGTCCTCCATGTTGTAGTGAAACTGATGGTAGCACATTTCGTTGGCACTGGGTTTATGCATGAGCATCATGGGGGCCTCTCTGATCATGGGAGCTTCTCTGATCATGGGGGCCACAGGGGCCAGGCTGAGGTCACTGCAGGCCTGGTTCACAATGATCTCTCCCTCTCCACCGCCGTCCCAGGCCACTCGAGGGGGCGGGGCATAGCAGGGCTGGGTGACTGGCACAGGGCACTCCCTCGGAAACTTCTCTGATTGGATGATTTTGACCGTATCCATGGGGATGGTGACAGGCTGGCGCCGCAGGCAGGACATTAGCAGTCTGTAGTCAATGCTAAAGTGTTTTTAGAGTTCAAGGAAACACCAGGTGTCTGCTCTTTTTAAAGTCACCCATTGGATGGGACATGAGGGCGCAGGACTCTGTCCATTGTTCAGTCTTTGTCCAGGACAGCACAGTTTAAAGTTCAGCACAGTTTAAAGTTTAGCACAGTTTGAAGCTCCAGTCACTGTCTGTGTCGTCTCTGAGGACAAGGAACACGTAAAAATCTCACTCACAACATGTGAAGTACCTGTTCTCAGAGCAGGTGAGGGTTGACCTGATCCTAACCGTGTTCAGGAGGTGTTCAAGACACGGAGAAGCTGTCTTTGACTGTTTCCTGTGAACGTGTAACTTCCTGTTTTTGGAAAGCTTGGGTGAGACTCTTGCAGCTGATTGGGTTAGAGAGCGGTCAGCTGTTTTGGAGGTGTCCAGAGAACAGCAGGATGACTCCTCTGGTGAAAAGTTCTAAAAAGGAGGTCTTTCGAAACTCGGCGTGTTGCTCCTGGAGACGTCTCAGTGTCGCTTCATGGAACAATTTATCTGAAAGAATAAAAAAATAAAAACATCACAAATCTCTTTGATCACACTCTTGCGGCGAGCTCTGTCTGTTTGTGTTAGTCTTTGTTCACTATTGGGTTCTAATAGTGTTGCCAATTTAAAGTGAGAGGGTTAGGATTAGGTTACCCCTAACCCTGATGGGATTTTATTCTGATGAATAAAGTTGCTCTTCACTATCTAACCCTAACCCTAGTTAGGGTTAACCCTGTAGCTAGTAGTGGGAGTGCCGCTCAAAAAGGTCCATGGGCATGTACGCTGACATACTAGCAATACCACACCGGGCCTGTGGGGGTTGGACCTAGAAAGAGCGATCATCCAATGCTTTTGTACGGCGTCTTTTCTCCTCTAAAAACCTCTTACAGGATGGTCCAAAAGTCACTCTTGGTCCAAAGCTAAGTTCCAGATGCTGTCAATGCTGAGGGGAGTGTATTTTTGGACCAGTCTAGTTTAGTCGCTGTGGACTTCAGAATGCACTCATCAAATGAATGGGGCTAGTGCTGGCTAATGCTTGCGCAAATGCGTTTTCTCACATTTACCAGCCCCTGCAGCAATTTTGAAAAAGCCAACAGAATGTCGAAAGTGGTGGCACATTTGTTTGAACGGCGGAGATAAGCGTGACGACGTCTTGTAAAATTTACAGTCTATGGAACGCAGCAGTTGGTCCAGGTGGAGGCCTTGGGTTGGACACAGACCGATCTAAGCATTAGCACTTTACCCCGACCGATCTAAGCATCAGCACACCATCAAACACAATGGTTGTCAAAATTGTTTTACTATATAAGTTTCTTTTGTAAACTTATATATATGTAATTTTTTTCTTTCAATTTCAGAGGCATTCTTGCCTAAATAGAGCCATTAATTGGCTCTGGTTCACATTTATTATGTGTATATTGGGCGATTGTTGTAAACAATAGTTAAAAAAAACAATTCTTATGAAATACATGTAAATTGGTGATGGCTCAAAATAAATTAAGAAATTATAGCATTATTTACAATTGCAAAAGGCATTCTTGTTTTTTTATTTTTGGTGTTTTGGGCTAAATTGCATTGTTTAATTGAAAGTAGCCACTATTTATGAAGCTTAATGATAAAATCACGCTGACAGGATTTTATAACTAAGCTTGCTACATTTTTACGGGTGGTAGCTTCTGTTTAGTGAAGCTGAATTTATTGTAGAGTAGTGTGAGATTTCATAACTAGCTTGTCGCTTAGCTCACTACACAAATGAAGTGGCTCACCCATCACTGCTAATTGAATGTTTTTCGTAAATTAAATATATTATGGTTATATAATTATAGTTACGGCTAGGATTAAGTCTATGTTCACTCACCGCTGGTGAATTTGGGTTCTGAGTTCAGACCTCAAACCTCAGACCTCAGACCCTCAGACCTCAGACTTCAGACCTTAGACTATAGACCCTCAGACTCCAGACTCTCAGACCTTAGACCCTCAGACTTAAGACCCTCAGACTTTAGACCCTCAGACTTTAGACCCTCAGACTCCAGACTCTCAGATCTTAGACCCTCAGACTTCAGACTCCAGACCCTCAGACCTTAGACCCTCAGACCTTAGACCCTCAGACCTCAGACTCCAGACCTTCAGACCTTCAGGCCTCAGACCTTAGAGCCTCAGACTTCAGACTCTCAGACCTTAGACCTCAGACCTCAAACCCTCACATCCTCCTTGTGACCTTCTCTATTTAAACCAACTGCTCTTTGTTCTGACCTGAGTTCCCTTTGCTTCGAAGAAGAAGACAATCAAAGCAAATACCCTTCTCCAAAGCAATAGTCTCCACATGCCTCAGCACAGGGGAAGGAGCCTCAGCACAGGGGTAGGAGCCTCAGCACATCGGTAGGAGCCTCAGCACAGGGGAAGGAGCCTCAGAACAGGGATAGGAGCCTCAGCACAGGGGAAGGAGCCTCAGCACAGGGGTAGGAGCCTCAGCACAGGGGAAGGAGCCTCAGCACAGGGGAAGGAGCCTCAGTACAGGGGAAGGAGCCTCAGCGCAGGGGAAGGAGCCTCAGCACAGGGGAAGGAGCCTTCCAACTCAGCACAGGGGTAGGAGCCTCAGCACAGGGGAAGGAGCCTCAGCACAGGGGAAGGAGCCTTCCTACTCAGCACAGGGGTAGGAGCCTCAGCACAGGGAAGGAGCCTCAGCACAGGGGAAGGAGCCTCAGCACAGGGGAAGGAGCTGTTGATGTTGTGACTTTGGGAGAAGACGTGAGCGACATATTGAAAACAGAGAGTTATACAATCACAGCAGCGTGGCCCAAAGCTGCTGACGCCTACAGAACACACGGTACTGTACAGTGCCAACCTGCTCGCCCTCACCCCTCACCCCCCTCACCCCCTTCTCCCTCCTCAACCCCCTACCCCCACCCTGTCTAGGCTCTTACACACACCACGGTAGCAAACATGAGCCTGACCATCGCGCAGCAGAACATCACACTGTGTTCTTTAAGAATTAACCAAACACATTCAGTAATGTCTCCATCCTTCCAGCAAAATGGACGTCCATGATGCAACAGTCGAGCAAACCCACGGCAGGTCGGCCACAAACATACAGAGCATACATCACGGTTCTTTAGGGACAATGAAAGAGATGTGTCAGTGCCACACCTCACATAAAGGAGATAAAGGTCAAATGGAGGTGGGGTAACGATGATGAGGAGTCAGGCATGTTCCTCTGAGAACTAAAGCTCCGCACATCGAGCGAAGCACAAATGGTGGAGATGTAAGATGGAGGCAGCTGCTGGAGGTGAAGCCGTCCTGTGGTGGGTATGGGACGTGAAGAGAGAGGTGAGTGGATCTCCCTCTGCTCCTCTGGTCTCACATCTGAGTGCATCTGTGTCATACCTGAGCCCTGTCGTCGTCATGCTCCTCTTCTCTCTGAGTCTTCAGCCTCCGTCAGCTCCAGCAGCATCACACATGCGCAGTCCCGCCACACACACACACACACACACACACGCAGCCTTATGCATAGGCTGCTGGTGCCTGTCTCCCTCCCCCTTCTCTCTCACGCCTCCTCCCCCGCTGCACTGCAGTGCCTCTGCAGACAGCATCACATTTTCTAGATGCTGGAGAATTGTTCCAACCAATGAGAGGCCTCCTCCCCTGCTCCGTCTGAAACATGCAAATTCATACATGACTTTGTCCACAAAACACCTCCACGTTGTTGGAACACAGACCTGAATGAAGACCATGGGAGTAAACACATGGTTACATAACCCTCACACCGCAGTAAGAAGAAAACCTAAAAATAAACAGAGCCAATGCCCAATATCAGATACTGCAGACAGATACTAAAAAAGACAGATACTGTAAGACGGATACTGTAAGACGGATACTGTAAGATGGATACTGTAAGACAGATACTGTATGACAGATACTGTAAGACGGATACTGTAAGACAGATACTGTAAGACAGATACTGTATGACAGATACTCTAAGGCAGATACTGTAAGACGGATACTGTAAGACGGATACTGTAAGACGGATACTGTAAGACAGATACTGTAAGGCAGATACTTTAGGCTCACTTTCTCTCAGGGTAAAAGTCTGTATGTGCTGGGTTTTGTTCCATCGACTCTGATGCTCTGAAAAGCAGCCCTCAGCATGATGCTGCCATACCCGTATTTGACACAGCTCCTTCTTCTATTTATGACTCATTATGTAATACTTTAACCCTGGCCCTAAAACAGCACTAAGTCAGAGTGTTGCATAAGCTCCAATATCTAATCCTCAGATCAAAACGATGGGAAATATGCAATTAATCTAAGAGGGTTAGGTTTGCATGATGTTGGTGTGTCCTGGAATTACAGTGAATGAATGGTTTATTTTGGTTGATTGGTGCATTTAAATCAATACATCTTACAAACAATAATGTTAACAACAACAAAAAATTCAACCAAAAAAGGAATAGGCTGAAGCAATGCTTCAAAGTCAAAGGGAGACTGTGACCTAAAGCGACTCCAGCAAAAAGGACGTGATTCTAGACACATTATGCAAATATATAGATTATACATACATACTGTACTTTATATGTATACATGTGTATATACCCTAACTAAAACATTAGCTGAGGGTGCTTAGCTAAACATAATATGAGAGGGTTAATGTCTCACCCTCACCCTGCCCTCATCCTGACCCTCACCTTGACCCTCAAACTCACCTCCACCCTCACCCTCATTCTGACCCTCACCCACCTCAGCTGTCCCACCTGACCGCGAGATTAGCGGAACTCACCCATATTTGGGCATCGTCTGGTTCTCCCAGTTCTGCGCAGTGGACGAGCTCCCATGATGCTTTGCGCCAAATACGCGTGTGTGGCTCTCGTGCACGTGCACAGAGGGGCTCGGCCGCCTTTAACCAATCAGAGCTGCTCATCAGAGCAGAGCCAGAGCGGGAAGAAAACGAGCAGTTTGTTGCATTAAGATT